CCATCATCACAAGTGAAAAACCTGGGCGTAATCTTTGACTCTGAGCTGACTTTAATTCCTCACATCAAGAGTATCACAAAAATAGGTTTTTATCATCTAAAGAACATCGCCAGAGTCCGCCCCATTCTCTCTCGGGCCAACACGGAGACGCTGATGCATGCTTTTATCACCAGTCGCATTGACTATTGTAATGCCCTGCTCTCTGGTCTTCCCAAAAAGAATATTGCAAGTCTTCAATTACTCCAAAACTCGGCCGCACGTGTCCTGACTAAGACCAGGGGGCGGGACCACATTACGCCGGTTTTAAAATCGCTGCATTGGCTCCCCGTGTGTTTCAGGATCGATTTTAAGGTTCTTTTAATGGTCTTTAAATGTCTTAATGGTCTTGGGCCTTCTTATCTTTCAGAACTGCTTTTATCCTATGAACCTTCCCGGCCCCTGCGCTCCTCCGGCAGCAGACTCCTAACCATCCCCAAAGTCAGGACACACACTCTCGGCGAGGCATCTTTCCAGCACTACGGCCCCCGTCTCTGGAACAGTCTGCCGGAGGAGCTCAGGGCCGCAGAGAACATTCATATTTTTAAAGGTAGGCTCAAGACACACCTTTTTAGATTAGCTTTTGATTAGTTTTTACTATTCCATTCTATTTATCTTTTATTATTTATTTATTATATTGCTATTGCTATTATTCATGTATTGTGTGACTGTTCCTTTTAGTCTCACATCTTAGTGTTTTACTTATTGTATTGTTTTTAGTGTACCCAGTGTTTCCTCTGGAGGGGCCCTCTGCACTGGGAGCAGTGGTCGGTGTGGCTGTGGGGGTCGGACTCTTGGGCCTGGTGGGGGCCCGGGGCCTCGGTTTCGTGTCTCCTCTGGGTCCTGTGTCGTCCCCTGTGGCTACGGGCGGCTCTCTGCTCCTGGTGCAGACGGCTCCTTGGATGACGCTTTTTCAGCTGGTTGCATCTGAACCCTGCCAAGTCTCTCATCATGGTTTTATTGTTTTACTGGTGTGTGTGTGTGTGTGTGTGTGTGTGTGTGTGTGTGTGTGTGTGTGTGTGTGTGTGTGTGTGTGTGTGTGTGTGTGTGTGTGTGTGTGTGTGTGTGTGTGTGTGTGTGTGTGTGTGTGTGTGTGTGTGTGTGTGTGTGTGTGTGTGTGTGTGTATGTGTATGTGTATGAGTGTTCATGAGAGCGTGTGTGTGTTTGTCTGTGGTTTGGGGTGGGTCTGTTGGGTGGTCTGGGGGAGGGGTCTTGGGCCGGCGGGATTGTTTTTAACCAAACTGTAAAGCACTTTGTGTTGCATCTTTTGTATGAAAAGCGCTTTATAAATAAAATTTGATTGATTGATTGATTGATCCAACCACAGAATCAGTGAGAAAAATGTTTCATAGCTTTTATTTAAGTACTAATACTTCTAATTGAATAAAAGTAAGCTATTAACTCTGATAGGATCAGTATCAATTTGATTTAAGAGCCAAGGAGCTTGTGCTCAAAAAGTAAGCACTTATCACTGGAAATCTGGTCCGTAAGATCACGTCCACGCGTCTTCTGTGTTCAGCTTCATGTTCACAGATGTCCCCGATATCAGTAAACGCACATTATCACATTTAGGCTTTCATAATTACTTTCACAATTAAGACTAGTACTATCAGGGAGCTCTCAAAATGACTCTCGGCGCATGACGCTCCATTTTGGGCATAAGCGCGGCTCTACACCCGCAGTTGGCACCGGAGCTCCGCGCTGGAGGAAAAGTCAGGAAAAAATCTATGAAATCACCTACGGACCTCTGATATGACAATAGAGGGGGAAATTTCCCACCTCAAATGTCCAGATTAAAACGCATACATTAAAATTTTACCTTTACCTCATCATGGCCACACCTCTCTCCGCTCTGTGATCCATGCTACTAAGGGACGCTCACGTACTACGACACAGCCTGAAAATAGTGGGCAGCGTCCGAGTCGCCATCAGAATGAGTGCACTCACTAACTCACTCTTGACCCCGTGCATGTGACGTCCCGGCCACGCCCACTCTCCATGACAGACGGCGGAAGTCTACCTGCGAGCCTATGGAAACGTGACCAAAATAACCTGTTTCAGCAAATTACAGCCAGAACTGTGATATTTTGCAGTGTGGTTGGTTGTACTAACAGGCAAGGACATAAGCCAAATGTGTCTTTTTATCTGATACCTCCTCGTCATGAAGACAGAAGACGACGATGGCGGTAATCAACCAAAAGGACCGGGAGCCATCCAAGTACTCCCAAATTTGCAGTGAACACTTTTTACAAGATAAATCAATCACAAGTTTGTATTTATTTTATCTCCATTAATTTGGAGGACAATGACACAAGTCCAACATGTCTCTTACTACTGTCCTGTAACATTGAAATTTCCCCACTGTGTCACGAATAAAGAATCTCTTATCTTATCTTAGACGTCAGTTGCGTTTTTCACAATTTTCCTCTCCGTCATTATGTATCATATTTGGCTGTAGACAGAAAAGCCATAGAAAAGTGGACAATTGCTAATGCGCTAATGCTACCAGCAAAATGTACATTTAAATCTGCTCCGGTGTAAGGGGATTCAGATCATGTGGGGTGAATTTGCGCAAAATTAGGCATTTCATTTAATCAATAAATGTGACTGGGGGGAGAAGGTACGGGTCAACATCCAGTTAGGCAATCCTTAAGTTCTCCAACTACCGCTCTTTGTGAGCCCTGACCTGATGTCCTACTTCCACCAATAACGTAATCGAACATGTGCTTGAAGCAGCCACTTCTCGATTTAGTAGAGGAAGCTCCGTTTTTAAGAGTTGTAGTCCATTTTGCTCTCGCCACAATGCTTCCACTACTTCCGCCGTAAGATAATGCACAATCACGTGACTGGATGACGTCGATGCATCTCGTCAATATAGTGAGTGAGTGGATAGGGTATAGTGTGGACATTCGAACACAGCCAATGACTCCTTTGTTTGACAGTTTTTAGTGGATAGCATACACTGCAGTGGATAGGTGCTAACTAATGTCATGGCTTTGTTGCGTTTTGAGGAAAAATATTCCAATCTAGATTAGAATTTTTAATGGTAATATAACCTTCTGATGCTTTATGAAAATTTGGAACAAAATTTTTTTGTTTACATCATACTACTGTCTATTTAAGAAAACACAGTTTTACTCAAATGTATCAAAATGTACTCTTCATATTATTATATATTAGCATTATAGATCCACTGCAAACAGAAGAGTATGTGCAGCCTGCAGAAGTGGACTCTTGTGTTATACAATTACAATACTCCCACAACACTCACAATGAATAAACACTCGCCTGCTGTGTAAATGTAGCCATTTTGCCAGCGAAAGCCAGATCCTGTCAGACCTCTGAAGTAGAGCAAGGCAGGGCCTGGTTAATACTGTGATGGGACACCTCTGAGAACACCAGGTGCTGCAGTGGGGCAGCTGCAGCTGTAAAATGCCAAACTGTTGTTGTGTTCTTAGGCAAGAAACTTCACCCACATTGCCTAGAATTAATCTGATGTGTGTGTGAATGGTTGATGGTGATCGGTGGGGCCGATGGCACAGACTGGTTGCCTTGCTTCTGTCAGTGTGCCCCAGGGCAGCTGTTTTTACGGAATTAGTTTATCACCACAGTGTATGGAATGAAAAAATAATGAGCATCTTTGAGTGTCCAGAAAAGCCAATATAAAACTGATGCATTGTTATTATTATCATATAAGAGGATCTTTGTTTACGTCTGCGTGCGCATGCGCCACTCACTGAGTGGCAAGAAGACAGAGCGGCACATACTGAAGCGTGGATTCGACGAGTACTTTTAAAAGACTTAGTTGGCAAAATGCACTGTATATAAGCACTTTAACGCACGAAGATCAGAGGAGATATAAAAACAAGCTAAAAAAAATTATTTGAGACCGAACTGAACAAATTCAAAGCCCATATGAGACCTGGGATGACGAGAAGAAACATTGGGCCAGACTCACCTCTGTCTTCGCACCGATCTGCTGGTAGACATTTATTCTTACTTCATAGAAAACCTGGGACCCTTCACGCAAGAAGGGTCCGTGGTAAAGTGGCCCGGCTTTTCACTGTTGCGGTAAAGTGGTCCGCACATTAAAAGCGGGTTGCCCCTTTATGCTGTTACTTACGGTAAACGTGGAAAAGGAGCCCGCGGGGATGAGCAACCAAAATGCATTGTTTAAAATTAATCATCACAGTGAACAAGTGTGCAGTTGAAAGTAGTTGCAAAACTTAGTTTCTTTAATGAATTGTTATCCCTTCATCCTCCGGGGTTCCCTTTCTACGTTTACCATAGGTAACAGCATAAAAAGGCAACCTGCTTTTGATGTGCAGACGGCTTTTTTTTTTAGACGTATCTGGCCCCAGCGTTGCTGTACAACCGACCACACAACCGGAATGGACCATTTGATTTAGTAAAACCTCTCTCCAAACGTCTAAAACTAGCTAACTCTCTAGCATCCAGGTAGCTTTCTATGCTGTTTTGCTACCCGGTCACGTGACCAGCGCGGAAAAACTATAAACAAAGACGTCACTCCAAGATCCTCCTATTGGACAGGAGCTGGGAGACACATCTTAAAATAAAGATTACTTACTTACTACTTACATCTATCCAAGTCACATACTTTTCTAAATTGGAGGCCGCTGAGATTTCAAACATACTGTATCTGCAGAAATGTAATTTAAATCTATCAATCTTCCTGCTTTGTCATCATCAATACTCTCATTTATGCATATTTGTCACAAGCACAACCACAGAGAAGTGTTTCCATAATAATAATAATACACACACAGATATAAATGATTTAAATATGCATGAATGAAATAATCAGGAGGACAGACATCAAATTTTTCACTTTGATCCAGCATATGACGAGGTAGGAAATACTTAGAAATACAAATTACAAGTGAAAAAACCATGCAAACAGTGGTGCTGCACATGGAGACATTTTCCTGGGTAAAGTGTAACTTCAATCCGCTCTTCCCCCGCACTTTATGAAGGTGACGTCATAAGGCTGACCGATGACGTGCAGAGCCTCACCTGCCATCATTGGAAACAAATTATTATTTTAGTCGTTATATATAATTGTTTTCCACTGTCCTATAATTTTATTGTATATTCGGCACGGTTCCGACCAGTTTTGATCATTTCTGAAGTCAAAATCACAAAAATCCTGTATTTCCTATTATTCAAAGAAACGAGGTGAGGCAGCGCTCCTGCGTGCCTCATCCATGGATCTGGCCCCACCCCAGATCGCTCGCTCCCTCACAGTGGACTGTAGCTGCATAATAGTGCTTCTCCGAAAAACACTGATTCACACACTGTCAAGAGTTATGCAACTTGTTTAAATTATTGTTTATGTTCCTCCCTTCTCTTTCTCTCTCTCTCCTCCCGTCTCTTTCTTTCTCTCTCCTCCCGTCTTTCTTTCTTTCACCTTCCGTCTCTTTCTTTCTCTCTCCTCCCGTCTTTTTTTCTCTCTCCTCCCGTCTCTCTCGCTCTCTCTCTGCTCGCGTCTCTCTCCCTCATCCCGTCTCTGTTGTTTGATGCGGAGCAGAGAGTCAGCACCTAGATGTGTTGTGAGATCATTAAAAGAAGCTGGTTCTCTTATCTAACAGTATTTGAAGTTTGAGGATGTTATTGCATTGGCGATTAAACACTATTTTATTAGAATAATGATGGTAAATCTGACTTTTAAAGTCAGTGCCTCCCCAATCACAAACCTCTCCGCACGTCACTGATGCTGACCAATAGTCTGTTCATTGCTGTTCACTGTTTCATTGCGTAAAGATAGGAACCTGACCCTAGCCCAGACTCATGGGCTGAACCCCCTCCCTGTCCTGGATCTACAGCCTCTCTCCCTAAAACCTTCAAACAAGGTCAGAAATCTAGGGGTAATACTGGACTCAGACTTAAATTTTAATAGCCACATCAAATCAGTAACATCAGCAGCTTTTTACCATCTAAAAAACATTGCCAGAATCAAAAAAATAGTGTCTAGAGCAGACTTGGAGATTCTTATCCATGCATTTGTCTCCAGTAGGTTAGACTACTGCAATGGCCTGCTCACAGGTCTGTCCAAACAGGCTGTAAAACAGCTGCAGTACATTCAAAATGCAGCAGCTCGAGGCCTGACTAGAACCAGGAAGTACGACCGCATTAGTCCGGTCCTCAGGTCTCTCCATTGGCTTCCTGTGGCTCAGAGAATAGACTTTAAAACCGCTCTGCTTGTGTACAAGTCTCTCCATGGCCTCGCACCAAAATATATTAGTGACATGTTAGTCCCATATGAACCAGCCCGGACTCTGAGGAGCACAGGGACTGGACTCCTGTTAGTGCCCAGAGTCAGAACTAAACATGGGGAGGCTGCTTTTCAGATTCATGCTGCTAAAATCTGGAACAATCTTCCAGAAGATGTGAGACAGGCCTCTGACAATGTTTAAAACCAGGTTAAAAACAGTGCTGTTTAGCTGTGCATACAACTGAGGGATTTTATATTTTTATCTTCCTTTCAATGTTCTGTGATTATTTATGATTTTAATGCTATCTTGTTCAGCACTTTGAGTTGCCTTGTGTATGAATTGTGCTATACAAATAAACTTGCCTTGCCTTGCCTTAGGAATACGAATACCAATACCAAAACTTTATTGTCCACCAAGATGGAAAATTGTTTTTAGTTGTCACCTTAAAATACATTAAAAAACACACATCCAGCACAATATCATGTGGCACTACATTTACAGTACAATTGGACACCAAGCTAACGGGTCAGCCAGAGCCATGGCCCTACTGTGGTGGACTGGTCTATGGTGGTATCGTTCAGGTTTTTTATTGTGAATTTTGAGAACCAGCTTGACATACAGTAAGTAAGGGAGTAATGTTTATTTGTATAGCGCATTGTACAGAACTCTAACACGTTCCTGACTCTCAAATAGTTTCCTTCTATATTTTCACACGTAGCCGGGTATCTGCTAAACCGCAGATGTTTTTCTTCGTTTACACCTGTCATCCACATGACAACGCATCATAAATGAATATATAAAAAAAACTCTGGGCGAAATGGAGATTTTTGCAAACTCCGTTTATTAATTTGCGTGTAGACAGAGATAACCAGAGTTTTGCGTTTTCGCACGTCACAGTATGTTCCAAAACAACAACAAACAAAACATGCGACCTCTGATCACTGAAGAAGCATGGATCTTACTGCCTTAAAAACTGTTCGCTGCTGCTGCGAGCGGTTCGCAGCAGCAGCGAACATCCTCGCTCCACATCAGAGAGCAACAAAGTGATCACGGGGACTCACGCTCGAAAACAACCAAAACAGGAGCTAAAACAAGAGCTAAACCAGGGCTGAGGTCGGGGGTCAGTGCTTGTAAACATATGTCTTTACCCTGAGTTTCTTCTGTGACTGTGAAAGTGTCGCAATAGAAGTATCGGCGTCAGCATCAAAGCTCCGCCCACTTCTGGGTTTT